GTCTCACTGAGGGGCCTTTGAGTTCGGTCTAGGCGCGAATGCTAAGGGCTAGCAGGTTCTTTTAGTTGAGATACTTGGCAAGGAGATAGAAATTGTGGTTGTCACGATCCTTCCCCAGCCGCTGCCACAAGGAGTGGGGACACCTCGACGCTGGAGGGAGAGGAGGTCTTTAAGACTCTCCTCCTTGGAAAAATATATTGATGAATTGGCCAAATCGAAAGAATTCCAGGACGGTTGGTTGTCAAAGAATGTTGCGGAGTCAGTCCCTACCGCGGTGCTTGGTCTACAGGTTGGAGATGAGGGGCTCCTGCCCCCATCGACCCTCAGTAATTCATCAATCACTTGACCCCTCGCCAGTGGAACATTCATTTGGGGGAACAACAGAAAGAGCATCATCCCCCAAGATCATGGAGCGACGAGCAGATGAGACGGTGCCGTTGGTGGAGCCGATTGGCCATTCCAAGGGTGTTGTTGGGGGTTCGATTGTGGATCCCGTGCAGGAGTCGTTCGCTTTCCTGGATGATGAAATAGCGGCTCTGCAAACGAAACTTATCGCTATTCATGGTGGACTGATTGGGGTACTATGCGAACTAAGTGAGTTGTTTGACTTGGGGAACCTGATCGGGTGGATCATATTAAGGTAGGTGGATAGTTGGTTCTCCATTAGTTTAGGGGGCATTTCCTTCTAGGTCTTAGAAGACCATTTCATAAACCACTCCGTTCAATGCCTGTAATAAAGTTACTCGCAATAAAATATTATTTTACTAAATTTTGAAAAGAAGTTGAGTATGAACCTTATCATTATGTGACGCTTCATTTTACTCCCCCACCTTATAAATAGGAAAAGGGGCCGCTTCTTTTTAATTTGCATGCTTTTAGCTATTCCTTTTTCTTCAATCTTCTTTTCTTCCCTCATCTTTCGGCTGGTTCCGCTTTTGTCTTTCGGAATGGTCCCCAAATACTCGCCTACCCTGTTCGACTCTGTGAAGGACCGGACCTTCGATGCCGACGGAGAATGAGGTGAGAGAGCTAAAAGGAAGGCATGTTTTTAACGATATCATAGATCTCTGAAAGTTACCCGGATCAGAATAAGTGACAGATCTTCTAGTAAAAGATTTGGTCTTCTATCAAGATCGGTTCAAATATGACCTCCGGTTACCCTTTTGTCAGGAGCTCCATGGTGTCTTCAACACTAAAAGGGTTATTCCGGTGAAAGTGATGTCCAACTCCATAGTTCTGATCATGACTTTCATTTTTTTTTTTTCGGCAAGAAAACCTCTTGTGGTCGATCGACATTTTTAAATATTTGCTTTCTCATTCAAGGTGGATAAGGAGGACTATGCTATGTTTTCAATGGCCAAGGAACTCCACGTGGTAGGAGTGAAGAACAAAATAAAGGATTGGAAAAAGAAGTTTTTGGCCGGTTCCTATTGTGGTGCCATATTTTCAATGTCTAATGTTTTTTTTTTTCTTTTATTATTATTATTATTATTATTGTGGATAGATTTTTTGTCTTTTTTTCCCTGTTTTGTCTTTTTTTTTTTTCCCTGTTTAATTGTCTTTTTCTAATCATATCTTTTTTTCCCCTGTTAAATAGTCTTTTTCTGAAATAATAAAATTATTGAAAAATCCAAACTTGTTATTATCAATCATCTTTTGAATCCCTCAATTTAATAATCGATTCTTCATTGAAAATTGTATTTAGTCATCAAGAGAGACAACGAAATTTATACAGCACATACTATTATTTATATGTTTGAATTATTAGGAAGAACTTTATCTTTCATTTTTTAGAAAATACAGCAAATGTACTCTTCACAAATGTAAAATACCCATTATATGTATTCAACTTCAACAACTATATTTTAACACATAAAAATGACCTTTAATTAAAATAAATTTAGTAATATAAATTTAAATTAAATCATGCTCATTTTGTCTAACAATAAAATACATATCAATATATCAATACTCTTACTTCGATCACAAATTAAAATGAAAATCATATATAAATAACAAAATAACTATTTACTTTTAAATAGTAAAAGATTGCATGAAGGATAGAGAAAGAATTATGTGCATTTTCTTTTTTTTGTTTTGTTTTTTTTTTTTTTTTTGCTTTTCTTTCCTTTATGATGGTGATGTGACATGCAACGCTCTATGGCATTGAATGTTGAAGTTTTAAAACAGAAGCATAAAACTAAGTTAAGTGTTGTCGAGACGAAAACGATTAGGTGGATGAGTGACTTTACACTTAGAGATAAAATGAGAAATGAGTATATCTATGATAGGATTGGTGTAGCTCCAGTGACAAACAAAATTAGAGAGAGTTGCATTAGATGGTTTGGTCATATTAAACGTCGACCATATGATGATCCAGTTAGAAGAGCAGATGTTTTAGATTTGACTTATGTTAAGAAAGATAGAGGTAGACCTCAGAAGACTTGGGCTTACTGTATAAAAAATGATCTTAATTTATTAGAATTAAATGAAAATATGACACTAAATAGGATGCAATGAAGAATAAGGATTCATATAGCCGGCCCCACTTAATGCGACAAAAGTTTAGTAGTAGTAGTAGTTGTTGTTGTTGTTGTTGTTGTTGTTGTTGTTGTTTTCTTCTTTCCTTAACCGCAGACTTTATACATAGGAAGCAATAAAGGTAAAAATAGAATTTATTCAGGAGAAAGTATTACATCTTAACCTCAGACAATATTACGTTACATCATATCATATTTGTGGTGTGATCAATCCCATGAGACATTATTTAAACTTTAAAAGGAAAAAGCGGAGCAGAAATAACATCATTAATCCATCGAAGAACAGATTAAAACTTGTGAATGAAGTCAAGAATATAGTTCGAGATTTCTTCAGCCTTCTCCTGATTAATGAAGTGTCCAACCCCTTCCATCACAACAACATCCTCCAACAACGGCACATCTCTTTTGAACCCACCCTTGTGAATGTAATCCTCCATTCCTTCACAACGGTAGGCTAAATCGAGATCGCCGACGATGAACTTTGTCGGAACTTTTATCTGAATATCATCCCATGGAGCAGTGAGCTCCCAGTTCCTGCACCATCAATTTTAAGTAATTCAACTTCCTAAACTCCATAATGTAGTATATAAAAGCATGATTAACATATAAACGTGGGTACTAACTTGTCTATGTTACGATAGTAATTAATTCCACCGGTGAAGCCGGTCTTGTTGAGTTTGGTCGCGAAGTAGTCGATATCAGCTTCAGAAAGCCAAGCAGGTAACGTGATTTCTTGACTAAATCTTTCTTTAAATCTGTCATCTTTTGGTATGAGAAAAGGGCCTGCATAGCGAGAGGTTAACAAACCCTTCAAGAACAGGGCTGTATCAAGTTCGGCTAATTGAGCTTCCACTTCTCCAGGTTCCTGGAACACAATTATATGCCCTATTTGTTTCAAAAGATATATATATATATATATATGTATACTTTTTAATTATGAGAACTCAGAAGAGTGAAGAGGAAGCGGGACCTGAAATCGACAAATATACAAATCGTCGCCGTACATTGCCCTCAAGGTGTCAATGCGCCAGAAAGCCTGCTTTCTAGGGAAAAAGGCGACGCTCAAGTTGACGAGAGCTTTAACTTTATCCGGCCTGAAAGCGCATAGATTCCACGCCACAATAGCTCCCCAATCGTGCCCAACCACGAAGACCTTCAAGGATCTTTGTGTTATGCGAAAATAATATGAAAAAGGAGAAAATTCACATAATAATAATCAAATATAAAAGATTTATGTGATGCAGAGTTAAGTTCATTCATCTACATTCACAAAGAATGAGATTTCATTGGCATCGAATCAGAAGAAAGAAAAAGCTGCTTGTGATTACAATTTTTAATATTAATTGTTATGCAAATAATACGTAAACTAAGAAAT